CGTGATTTTTATTTCGCACAGAAGCATGAATTTGGGAAAGTTCGGTTTAAAAATTGACAAAGTCACACGCCCTCGCAATACGCGAGATATGCCCCGATGATTTATGTTGTACACGCTCGGAATGAATAAAATCCCGGAATTCGATGCCAACAAAGCCTTTAGAAAAATATGCTTTCTCGAAAATGTAGTTAATGTAATCTGTCGACGATATTTACTTCCAGCAAAATCGCACTACTATACATGCGATATGGAGGTAGAGACTTTCCTATCGAAACCGTACACCTTCCCTTTCCAGATTTGGTATACATTCATATTTTTTCACAGGCTTAGAGAAATTGTCAGCGAATCAAAATGCATCATACATTTTTTCTATGCCATATCGGATCGAAGGGACCTTAACAAACTCAAGCATCGAGATTAAAATCAAAGTTGGTCGAAGAGAATCAAGACGACCAACGAACTCGCCAACGAATTGGAGTATTTCCTCTTAAATTTGATTGTGTTAAAAAATATGCCCCCCTTGACCACATGCGGAAGTACATCACTGACTACAAATGTAAAGTACGTAGATTGGTAGCAAACTCTTTATAATTTCGGATAGGTCCCATAAAAAGATTCTTTTAAAAAATGGTTTTTTAAGGTATATTCAGTGTTCCAGAGAAAATTTTCGGCCTGTACAAGATGGTTCAAATTCGTGACTCACCATTGGGATCTCCGTAACGATGAGGGATACAGTGTAGATTAATTCAGTGCAAAGTTGCCCCTTTTTGTGACTAAAAAACCCATTTGAAATTTTTGAAAAAACCGGGATATCACCGAAAAACTGGAAGTGGTAGTCATTGAGTTCCGGTACTAACGGAAACGGCGTCATCTTGAAATTATTTTGTTTCAATTCGCAATAGTCGATTATGGCTGGAAACCAAATTTCACGTTGCTATTTCAACTGCACGTTCAAAAACTTCTAACGAACGGGTACGTGAATCACCTCGTGAATCACCCTGTATATTTGTACACTCGTTTGTACAGATACCGTAGAATTGTCAGCAGCATTCCCGATCGCCTTTGAAGAGAATTTATAACACAGTGGTTTTCTCCAGTGGATGGTACTGTTTGAGACCCGTCTGCGTGCTTAAGGGAAAGTCGATCTGCCATTTCTTTTCTTTTTTAATTTCTCCACATATTCCTCTGCTACAGAAGTATTCCACCCCCGAATCCACCCACCTACAGCGTCGCTTGAGTGTACTTAAATCTGCGCCACTGTTTGCTAAACGTGATACCGACTGATGATAAGAATTATCTCAACAATTATCTATAAAATGTGGTGATGTAATTCAGGATATTTTAGATTTTAGCGAGGATTTTAGATATTTTTACTTCCAATTTATTATTTCTGCAGCCGGCGATTAGTTTCAAAGTTTGAAAGGAGATCGAGAAGGAGATGCAGTTATACCAACCTAAGTTCATTATCTTCATCATTATGAATTTTCTAGGGGTTAGTTAGGAACACATTTTTTTTAAATTAAGATTGAAGGGCTCAACAAAAATTTTATTGCGTTCTCTAAGACCACGGAAAAATGTGTATTATTACTGAATAATCTGCCGTTTTGAAAATAAGTATACGAGGTCAGTTAAAAAAGTTACCGGATGTACTTAATTTCATTTCTTAAATAGAGCACCTTGCATAGTTTGATCTAGAAACACATAAAATAAATTTTCATTTCAAAAATATAACACACTAGGCATGATGAAATTTTCAGACATCGTAATTGAGATGGACAAGGGCCGTCTTCTTTTTTGGGTAATTAACTTTCGTAATTGAATTTTATTTTTCCTAGAAATTAAGTTTGGATTAATCTACCTAATTTTTCTTGGCCTACTAACGTACGTTGAGGGGATAGTCTTTGTTGTCAACTGTATATGATTGGTTGTTGTAATTTTGATTTTCGGAAGAAGGGTTTTCGCCTTAAATAAGACGTCAAGAAGAAAAGCGTCGCTTTTTGCCACAGTCTACGCAGTACTACGTTTCGTTGAAGATTTAAAATGCGCTTTTAGCCACGTTCAGCGCGCAACTAGGTTCCGTTGAAGTTTAAAATCGGCTTTTAGTCAAAATCAGAGTTACGTCTCGTGGAATCGTTAAATCAGCTTTTTGCTACGTTGAGCACCGAGTTACGTTTTGTTGGAGAATTTATTTCGCTTGTTGCGAATTCCATCGTTGATTTACGGCCAGTTAGTACTCATTTGACGCCACAGCCACCATTGAAAGTTTTCGTTCAATGTGAGTTTGAAGATGGAAGAAGTTTCGTTTGTGAATCCGGAAGCCGAATTCGCGGCTAGTTTTTGTTCTACGTTTTGAAGTCTTGGCCATCAAATGTGCTGCAAGGAGAGGTGTTTATCGGCGCCCCTATAAATGCTGCGATTACTCGGTCGTTAGTGTAAAGTGCATGCATTGAAAATTGTAACTGTTTTTTGTGAACTGTGTAAGGATACCTTTGTGCCGTGTTAATAAGTTTAGGGAAAGAGCTAGGTATTTCCCCCCGTGCCAAGTAACATTTTACCGGCTACCGACTAAATTCTTACTAGTCGCGACGTCGGAATAGTTACAATTACTTGTTGGGTATTGACTTAGAGGTAAAGGTTATGATGTGTAGACGGAACAACGTCGGTTCGACCTCTAAAGTAGGCCTAGATATGTTTCGGTCAGGTACCGTCGTCGGTTTGACGTCGGTGTCCGGCTAAATTAGTTTGGTACAGTTTTGTTAAATCGGGGGACGTTGGTTCTACGTCGGCAATCAACCAATTCAGTCTTAAGTTGGATTTATTTATTCATACAAATACATGGGCAACATTTTTGCAAGCATTTTTTGGAGAATAGGTAACTGTTTTTTAAAAAATTTCAAATTATGAAAAATAAATTAACGACTGGAGTCGCTTTCTGTGCGATAAAATTACCCTAATCTGACTTTAAGTCCAATTTGGGACAGTAAAATGACCTTACAGCGCCGTAAGCTTTAGTGAAGATTAGGTCAGCAGTACCAACGCCTTAGTCGGATCACAACGTCGTTCCAACCAAAATTCAAATTCACTAAATTGGTGCATATGTAGGTCGGCACGACGTCGTACCGAAGTCGGGCACCGACGTCAGGTTGCGCACCCCAACGTTGTACAACGTTGGTTGAACGTCCAAATGCTGCTTGGGGTATGTCTTAAGCGATTAAGTGATTTTACCATTTTAAGTTTGACCAAAATGGGACACCCTGTACCTATGTATACCTCGATATATAGCTACCCTCGTACCTACCTAGATACCTACAATAGCCACTTTCACGAGCACTTCCGATGTTATTAAGCGACAGAGCAAAGCGATGCAAACTTTATAGGAGAGTCGATGGTGCCCGTCTGTCAGTCCGTCCGTGAACACGATAACTGTCAAACGCTTAGACCAATTTGGTTCGAACTTTGCACAGTTGACCAATATGCGGATATGCCACAACTAATAAGCCTATTGAAAATGGGTCAAATCCAATGACCCCGTAGGGTCACACCGAGGTGCTCTGTCGCTTTTTTAGATGCTCTTTAGCGGTTTATTTTGCTTCCAAGCAGAAACTTTTAACTCTATCGTTAATTCGTGCTCTTGGTAATTACGTACGTTGTTTCCAAATTGGTGAAATCGCCTAAAAACCCTATGAACCAAAATAGTGATTTGGGGAGCAATATCTCAACCTGGTGGTACACTTCCTGTATAGTTAGTGGTACCGTTGATTGGTAAGTGTATATTTATCAATCAACGGTGGTACCATTAATAGTGAAAAGTATTCTGGAATTCTAAACGATTTGTTTACTTGAAACAGCGCATGATTTTTATCAAAGGGTGGCATTCTCAGCAGGATAATGCAAGATGACATACACCGTCCTATACTCAAGCTTGGACAGACCAAGTGACAACAATTCCATGACCAGCAGCTTCACCTTAAAAAACATGTGGGAACTAATTGAAGTTGAACAAGCAGCGTCACGAAATAAATAGAATGCTTGATTCGGTCAGTTTTACAGTTCTGGACCACGATCACCGAACATTATGGAGATGACCTAGTTTCGGGTGCACCTGGACGTTTACAGTTAAATAGAGGTTATCTCGGAGGTTATATAAGTAAATAGGATTAATTATTTGCTGTAATTTTATAATTCAAATATTAAAAATATACTTTTCAGAGTCTAGACGGACTATATCATCAGTCCAACTTTATTTGCGTGATATATGCTAGAAAACGACGTCAACGAGGACGTCAATGATACTTAGATATTGAGATCTGGGTCATTCCCAAAACTCGTCTGCAGACAGGGTACATTTCTGAATATTGCATAAGTAATTTTTCCTCGAATTTTTCGATCTTGACTTGTGCAGTAAATTACAAACTGAAGTCCTTATACATTTTGAGATGTACTGTTCTGATTTTAACAATATCTAGGTACATGTTTCGACCCAATACTTTTCCTCCATCCGAATAGTTCAGCTGAAAGATCGCATCTTTGGCTCATCTTCGCCAAAGGAAAAGTAGTTGTTCGTTTTTGTACTAAGGCAAGTAGTTTATATTATAGTCGCCCACAATCTACATTGAGAACAGTCACATGATAGTGAAAATTGAAGACACTGCAGCAGTGGGCAAGGGTTTCTGGGGGGCCCTGATCAAATTTGCGCTGCAGTGTCTTCATCCCTTTGTAACTTGATGTTACTGAGACATCCCTGGTCGGATTAGATATCAATTGCACTCTTGTAATCTTTGCATGTACCAAGATCAACATTTAGGATGGACCATATGATACTTGCTAACCTGTTCAGTGGACCCTTTTCATCACTGTTAAAATGGAGATACTTTTGTATCTGTCGTTCTGAGCTCTTATGGATTTCTAAGCAAGGGTCACGTTTAGCGCAATCATAGTGGGCAAAAATATCTCTTTGGTGTTATCACAATCACTTGTGCTGCTTTGGAGTAGATTCCGTGCAGTTGATACCGATCTTACCTTCTAAATCCAGCAGTTGGAAACGGAAATCTAAATCCAGAAGGTGCCGGTACGGGCACGGCAACAGGTCCACCACCCTGTACGAGCGGCACTTGTCCTACAGGTGAATGAAACGGAACCACGTGGCTCGCCACTACAGCACTAGGCACAACATTATTAGGCACAATACTTCCCGGTATAATCGAATTATGCACCAGACCACTCGTCGCGACGGGCGCGTTGTTCGCGTTATTCGGCGAGTACGGCGGCGGCATGTGGTTATTCAACAGGTCGGGTAGACGATCGCCGTTCACCGAATTCCAGTTGGCGGCTCGGTGCGGATGATTCGAATTGTTCGCCCTTCGCAGGTGGCGCCTTTCGCGCCGTTCCCTTCGCCTCTGCTCGCGCGTCAGAGCGCGATCGGTGGCGGTTGTTCGTACCAGCGCCGAATTGGCGTCGTCCGTCTGGGCTTCGGTCGAGGTAAAAGTCCGCGTGCGGGTTTCTTCGGCAACCCTTTGAGGAGGATCATCCGTTTGGCTGTTGTGCACCGTCACTTGCGTGGTACCTGTTACGCCACTATGAGGGCGGCTCGGTAAAATGCGGGGAGGTGTTAAAGAAAGGGTTGTGGGTGGCATGGCCTGAACGATATTTACGTTAGAGATGTTGTTACCGATTTCACTTGTATTATTGACACACTGAATTGAGGGAACGTTCGAGACAACCGTAACGGGCACCGCCCGATAAAAATTAACATCCACTGCACTAACATTTGAGGGTATCCGAGTTTGGGCAATGGTCAAATTTGTACTGTCGGGTTTGGGTACCGAAGCTGCTCTCAGTATGTTTCCACCAAGCGTTGGCAGTTCGGCACTGTTCACGTGTGAACTGTGCCGATGATGGCTTAGAATCGAAACGATATTGGCGCAGCTGATGTTCGAATTTTGATTGACGGTGACGTGTGAACGCGAATTCGTTGCGGGGGCGGCGTTACGCGCGGGGTTGTTTGGCATAAAAGTCGATGGGGTGGAACCGTTTCGTGAATGGTTGATGACCACCGGTTGTTGTATCATCGCGCTTGGCTCAGAGGCGTTACGCGGATGATTTGGAAATATGAAACCACTTCCTGTTGAATTTCTATTTTGTGTCGTACTGGATGGCACCGAAGCATGTCGAGGATGGTTAGGTAAACCGACTACATTCGCACTAACAATTGAATTTAAATTAGATGGTATCATATCAGAAGAAATGCTTCGCTGGTATCCATGATTTGGTAACAGACGAATTGCACCGCCGGTACTCTTCGAGATGCTATCACTACTACCTGTTACATTTTGATTGACATTCACGACGGAACTCATCGCGGAACGGCCGTCGGGCGGATTAAACGCGGACGTCGACGGATCGGTTAGGGAATTAGAAATTTCGACGCGCATAGTTTCGGAGGAAGATGCAAACTCATTACAGTTGCTACGGTAGCTTTTTACCGACACTTTCTCGGCAGCCTGCTCGCATGCACTGACGTTCGTCAACAACTTTGTTGGTGAACTCGTTGCGAGCCAGTCACGTGTTCCTTTCCCTTCTTTACATTGGCTAAGCTGGTTTCCATAGCACGTTAGGTTATTAACCATCTCAATGGTAAGATGTAGGTCTGCTTTGTTGCCACTTCTTGGGGATTGTATTAGCCCATTGTTTGGCCTTCTTTCAAGGTCGAGGGAGGACAAACTACAGCAGGAACTGTACGAACTAACTGAACAGCTCTCGTCGCTTACTTGCTTATTTTGATATTCGTAGGGCTGCCACAGTAAGGAATTTAGAGCTTCGTTGACATCCTGATGGAAGGAATTCCTGCTCTTTAAAGGACGTTTACTTGCAGTCGCTTCGCTCACCGATACCCTATTTATAAGCGACTTTTGCTCTATTTTCGACTCGCGCGTTTCCGCATTTTTACATAATTTCGTCGAGTTGGCATTCTCGTTTCTAATTACTGGTGTAATTAACCTTTTATTGTCGGTAGACAAGGAAGAGCTTACGAATCGATTCTCGTCCTGAGAATTGCCACTTAAAATTCGATTTAGTTCGACGACGTTTAGCGGCATACATAGTAACGATTTCTCTTTGGTGAACTTATTCAAATTTGTCTCGTTGTTGTTGTTGTTAACGGCGACATCTTCAGCGCCGGAACGGGACATGTTATTGTTTTCCAGACTTAATTCGCCCAAACGCTTCTTCAAGCTGGATATCATTGTTTAATGGCGTGCCGCGATTTTCGCATTCTCCAAATTGCAAATTATGTCGAGGTTTTTCCGCTTCGCGTATCCGTTTTCCAGGCGCATCCCTTGAATTATGACTACTTCCGGAGGACCCACTTCGTCTGGCAAATTACTGCTGGTGGATTCCATCTCTTTTTCTACGTGTTTACTTCGGAATCTGGAAAAAAAGAGCTAAATCAGTCACCGGAAAATAATTATGCGCGCCGCTGTTCGCAACATTTTGTGAAGTTTACGGTTATTTTGTTAGGAATGCCATTGTCTCAGGCTCCGCTTTGTTATAAAAATTAAGGCAAAATATTTTTACTTTTATGGGCGCAACGTGTTCAAAGGGCTATTTGAAAAATTGAAAATCCAATTGGAAATTATATTATCTATAGATTATAACTCATTTTTCATTAGCACAACAAAAAAACTCTTCGATTAACAGCCTTTAAAACCAGGTGCTAAATTCTTGACGGAAGAGCTTCCTAGCTCAAACTAGAAAAACGTTTTTGACAGTCTTAAGTAAGTCATTTATGCCTAATATACACTGCCAAAATTTGAACGAAATCAAAAAAACCGTTTTTTAACTTTGACACTTTTTTTCTTCGTTTTTTTATGGTTGTACAGGGTGGTCCAAATTGGACCCTTTCTCATGAGAACACTCTTTATTTTAAGAGAAATGGAAGAAAAATGGACCTAGTTGTCTGGAGCTCAATTTGAAAGAGAAAATCACTGGCGTAAACAGTAATCAGCTATCTCTAATCGTTTGGCCACTAGAGGGCGTGTCTCAAATTTAGTCGATTTCTTGAATGCCCCCCTCCCCCCCATAACTGGGTTATCAACCCATCTTTCATACCCACCCCTATATATCTTGGTGTTTTTTAAAAGAGCGTAAAATTTCCTAAAGCGTTTAAAAATTATTAATGAATAGTCTAAACCAAAAAAGAAGCTGACTTGCTTACTCGAAGGACGAATGGGGGGGAGGGAGGTAGTTCAAAAATTCGAAGTATATTCAATCTTACCTTGACGCCAGTTAGGTAAAACTTTTGAAATATTAACTTATAACAAAATAAAACTGAAATGCATTTGTTACCCTTCTTTTCTTTAAAATCCACGTCATCCATTTTTCATCGCCTCCCCCCTTATCCCACTCTTACTTCTTCCTGTCATTAGTGTCATTTACACCTCCGTACAGTTCTATAACATATGTTGTATGTCCTCTTCTTCTTCACCGCATATTCTACATTTGCTTTCTTTTTCATGTTTCCATTTCTCTTTCCCTCTCTGTTCTTTTCTGCATCTGAATCATGGTTTTCATATTTTTTCGTCCTCCTTTATTAGCTCTTTATTACTACTGGCCCATGCGCTCCTCTCTATCTCCACCCTCTTTTGTTGTTTTTGCGCATCTACATCCCTTTTTTTCATCAGCTATCTTTTTTCCAACTCTTCTTGTCTTTTCGACCTCATCCCGTCCATCTCCATCTCTTTCGTAATATTTTCCTCTTTGTTTTCCTACATTCCTTTTGCGCGCATCCTTATCTTTGCCATTTTTATTTCTTCGTCTAATGTACAATTCGGTACCCTTCTTTCTAACCCCAGTTCCCATTTGCGGTATCTCCTTTGTACTTCTTCCAGTTCTTCCCATTCCTTCCACCCCTATATCTCCCCTTTTATCATTGCATCGAACAGGTACTTTCTTGTTCTAAAATCAATCTTTAACCCCCTCTCTCCAATTCACGTCATCGATCTCATCGTAACCACCCCTTTTTCCTTAATTCTTTTATCATGCGCATTTGTCCCATTGTTTCTTTGCGTTTGGTACTCTAAATATTTCATTTTTCTTACTCTTCTATTCTTTCCTCCCTCCATTTCCATTCCATCTTTTCCTTCCATTGTCCTTCCCAAATCTCATCATCTTCGACTTTTGGAAGTTTACGTTAGACGAAGTGGGTATCTCTGTCGGAGTCCTTTACATGTCCAAAACACTTCAGACTGCTAAACCCTTCTATTCTTGCCCTCAATCTTGTTTCTCCATATAGTTACTTGATTCTGTCCTTTAACTTCTTGCCAATCTTCCATCATCTTCCATATTTTTTTTCTTTCCACTATGTCAAACGCAAGCTGCCTTAAGTCCATGAAAACCACCTCCTTGTTCCTCTAGACTAGAGACTAGAGTCTAGTCTCTATCTCACTACATATTTCCGTTTACAATTCTCCAACCTCAATTTTATGATTCTACCTCTTTGTTGCACTCTTTATCTCTTGATTTTCTATCTTGTGTTGCTCTTCCTATCTCTATTCATTTTCGTTTAATTCCTGTTCTGGCATTATATTTTTTAACTCCCATTCTCATTCCTTCTCTGTCGTACTCATTTTCTTTCCCTCGCTCCCACTCGTCTGACCTGTATTTCTTCCTCCTCTCCCCATTCTCTTTTCTCTTTTGTGCCCCTGTTAATATACCTCCTTTTCCTCGCTCCTTTATGTTTATATTGTTCCTCTTCACAAATTGGTTCTTTATATAACATATACTCATTCGGAACCCTGTTCTTTATTTTCTCTCAATTCTTTTTTTCTATCCATGATTCTACCATCTCCACGAAATCATATCCTCTTACAAACTCTCTCAATTGAGCATCATTTTCATGTTTATCTTTTCCATGTTTATTTCGTTTTCTTCTTTTCTTCTGTTGTTTGAGTCTGTACCCCCCCCCCTCACGCTTACCCCATCTATCTCCTTTTTTGATGTTAGTTTCTCCCCCCAAACGCCGCCGTTTCTTCTCCCGTTCTTTTCCTCTTTGTTCTTACTAATCCTTTTTCATTGGTACTCCATCTGTCTTCTTCATCTTCTACCATCACTTTCCTAGAATCCCATCTTGCTTTCTTTTCTCAACCTTTCTAAACCGTAATGTACTAAAAAAGGTTTTCTAAGTACGTACAGCACGTAAACGGTTGGGATTTCCCTAGCGACTTTTTGGCGGATTCAGTTCGGCAACTTCGGAAAATTTAAAACTTTTACCTTGTGTAATGAATGTTTCAAGTTAGAGAGTTTGCGGTTTGTTTCGTAATTGAAAGATGAAGCCTAAAATACTTGTAATTCAAATAGCTTGTTAAAGCAGAAAAGAGAAAGGTATAGGATGCTGTAGCGGTAGCCCGTGTTCCTTTTCGCTTTATTTTTTCTTCTTTTTATCCCTCATTTGCATTTTTAGCGCATGTTCTCAAAGGAAAATGATCGCTATTGTCCGCACTTTGTCTGTCTGTCCGTACCACTACCCCCAGTTTAAACTTTTTCGTGGTGGTTTCTTTCTTATAATACGACAGACCCGAGGTCCATCTCATTCCTTAAAAGTCAAGATTCATAAGAAATAAGCAAGTCGAGAAGCAATAGGTACCTGTATAGCTTCAAATTCTTCCAAAAAAGTGCCCATAGAAGATGATAACGCAAACCGTCCACTTCTGACTGTTTAAGCTAGCTAGGGGAAATGAAAACGAAATTTGACATTTTCAGTTTTTCGGTGATATCTCAGTTATTTTCAAAGATTATTCAAAATGTGCTTTTTTAGTCATTTTACCCTATACTGCATCTCTCACCGTTATCGTGAGCCACGAATTTAACCCTGTACAATTTAATTTTCACAGTTTTTCTCCAAGTTTTAATTTTCAGAATTATTTCAATTTTCCTAATATTCCTGGTTTCTCAATGGAGGGCATGCTAATTTTATTATATTAGCATCACTGTGAGTAAGAGCGCTCCAATCTTTGGAATTTTATAACCTTGTCTAGCGCCCTCAACATAATTTGAGGTGGGGTGAAGGTGGAAGTTTATGTTTGTCAGAGCGCTGGCTGATGCTCATAGGTATTGTCTCGAATTAATGTTGAGCCAAGCTTCTCTAAATTTTATGCCACTCAAAAATGTCTTTGGTCTCTATAATCTTTGAAATCTCTAAATTCATTAAGACTCTAAAGTCTAAAATATTCAAGCTCTACAGGGTGTTTTTTTTGGGAGCTTTAGTTAAAAGTTTCTAGGAAAGTAAAATAGGTAGGTTATTGAAAATTGGTACTTAGGAGTTACTCTGAAGGCCGAATCGATGTAAAATATTTTCAAAATGGCCGCACTTCCGCAAACACCGGAAGTAGATAGTAACTTCGTTATTTTAAATGGCAACCCCTATTTTTTATTGCATTTTTGGATTCTACGTGAAATTTCACTTCTTTTGATACTCATATGTCGATATCTACCATTTATGGTTTTTAGGTTATTTTGACTTTAAGAAAAAAAATGGCGGATGCAGATGGTACCTTGATAATTGATTACTTGAAAACGGTTGTAGTCATGGCAACCTATTTTTATCAGTGCATAGAGAATGAATAGGGCTTTCTTTTAGTGCACTTAAAAAAAGTTAAGTTGCGTACGACCGCCCCTATGGATATCCAAATTTATGAAACTTCAAAGACTAAAAACTCAGTTTTTTTTAATAGAATGACCATGTTCTTACTATTCCATGAGAAAGAGAATCGAAATGGGCATATTTTGACAATACATGTTCCTATAGCTATCTTTAACAGTTTCTGACTTATTCCCATTTTATTGAATTGACACTATTTTTTTCGGATTTTCTTTTTAGTAGTCGGCCATGATTCTATAACAATCGAATTTTAAACAAATCTAGTGACACTAATCCGTCACCTACTGTTATAGGTGAACATAAGTTTTTCAAAAATCGAAAAATGACTCGCAATGGTTTCACCTATTTTGGAATTTAAGTCTTATTTATAGTGAAATGGGCAGAATCGCGGAGCGTGCTTTCCGTACATTCATTCGAAAACTGGAACGAAATTGTATGAATTTTGGGAATTTTGAACCCCTAATGCACTACAAACCGTTGAAGCACAAGTGATACAAAGCTCTACAAGAGAATATTTAAGAAAATGAATAAAATTGAATTGCAAATGCAAGATTAACAAAATAAATTCAATGCAAAATATACCTAAAAAACTTTGTTGAAACATTTTTGGTATGGAATTGTTGCTAGAACAGATATCGCATTACCTCTCTTAATTTCCAGACTTACACGTTGTTTAAGAAATGCAGTTGAACGATTCTGTTTACTTAGATTTTTCAAAAATTTTCCGTCCTATATCCTTAATAAATGAGTTATTTATTAATGAATTATTTAG